TTGCTTGTTGGAGGTCTGTTTATGATCTTAGGTCATGTGGTGTTCAGGTGTGAGAGGCGTCGAGTTTTTGGGTGTCGTAAAGTATTTCTCGTGCCGGCTAAGACCTCGCTTTTTTTGGAGGTGTCTATCGGGAATATCGATGTATAACCCAAGCGACGTCTGTTACGCATGTGACAATATCTTCGCTACAAACTAAAAACGAGCATTTTTTCATTCAGCCTGTCCTACCAGCGCAACCAAAATACGAGCGAAATGAGCTCGAGCCCGATAATTGCCCTTTCATTAAACGTCCCCCGCGTCTACTTTATGTGACATTTCAATTTCGTATATCACGGCAGTAGCGCTGTAAGAACGGTCCACGTTGCTAATCGAGATTTGTGTCGAACTTCGTTCGAATAGCCCGGTAATCGAGAATTTTTCAACGAACCAAAGGCACAAGTGGATTAACCACCGACAGTCACGGCACCTCCCGTGCGATCTGGCTCGCGTGGCGCTTGATAAAGGGACGGACGAGTCGATTAAAGTAATTGCATGAATATGCAACGCGACCCCTTATCGCCCTCTTATCTTGTTATCTTCGCCTTCCGTGCTGAACTTCTTTCTCGCATGCGACCAAGTTACAGATTTAATATTGGCGGTTATTGTCCAACTGGTGGGAATGGAATGTCGCGGTTAGGTTGGTTATTCTTCGTCCAGTCGAGCCAAATTGTTTTCGACATTCTGGTTGATTTGTGAAACTTTGGGCGAATAGAAATGGTTGGAGGACACCAAAGGAATAAATATGTTTGAAGGGTAATGATTTTAGAAACAGTCGATGGGTATTTAGTTGTTTGTAAAATTGCTTCTCGTGTTTCTTATGAGAAGAATTTGAAGATTTTAGAAGAACACTTATTTATCATTGTGTGTGAAAATTTAAAATAATTCGTTATTTAGTAATATGTGTGATTGTATGCACAAAAAAGGGTTAATTCGGGACACTAGAAAGTTCGAGTATTTTTGGATTATAAAATGTGAAATGCTACTTAATGAAATTTGTTACGTTTCTATATCAGAGTTATTAATTAAAAGTTCGATCTAGTTAATTTTCATTACCAAATTGAAGAATATTATCGTGATAAAATTACCGACAATACAATTTGCTCCAATTAAAATACGAGGAATAGTTGGAATTTGTTAGAAGTCCTTGGTACTTAATGGAAATAAAAATGATTACTTCTATCCAACAGATATGACCCAAAAATATTTCATGTCATTTCAATTTATCTATGACTGAACTTTGTTTTACTTTCATAAGTTCCTTCGTTCTGTTTGCTACTTTTACACCACAGTAGAACGAGCAATCCATAGTCAGGCGCTGCATCAACCTTCGTTCTTTAGAAGCAAGGTGTCGTTTCCTCACGGTGAAGCAAAGAACATCGTTCGCAATAACCGACTGGGTTTTACAAAGCCATGTATCCTCGTTTTTTGATACCATCACGAGGAATAATAGAAATCTTAATCATTTTCGATCAAAAAACTGTTTTCTAAATGTAATACAGAAACACAAAAAAATCTACTCTGTAGTTAATAGCAATTTTCAAATATTATCTCTAACCATTTTTCACAGAAAGTTTATTCCAAATTCTGATTTTTAAATTTTTACAAGAATGAAAATTAAAAGAACCTGTTCATAGAAGAAAACAACAAGAAAACAAGGTGTAAATAATTTTTATGACACATTAGATGTATATACTCGAAGCTTCGTTACAGCATTTTAATTGCATCTCATAATCAGGAAGTAGGTCTTCCGGCAAAAGAAAGTCGAACCGTCAATGTCGATCTTGCAACGTGCAAGTACAGTGGAAAAACGTTTATAGAGCAAAAAAAGAATAGTGAACGCCTCTCTACCGCAGTAGCATGAATGCCAACATTAATATCGAATTATACCGTACGTAACAATGTTGCGTAAACAAGCTTAGCGTCTCTTCGACGGACGAGCATTGAACTCTCCGGTGGCTACTGCTCGATTGTAACGAAAATGTTCGCTCGGACCGCCCTGTTTATCATTCCACGAATATAAATTCCGGAACAGTGTCCTTTCGTACTTTCACTGCAACTGTGCTTACATGTCTCTACGTGACGTATGCATTTCGATCACGATCGCTAGCGAATCGCTCGACGATTTTAAATCGTATATCGTGCGACACGATTCGAGTGTTTCTGGTTGTTCGAAATATTGGGAAAATCGCGGAAAATGATGAAATTGGGGAGTTATTCGGTATGTAGAGAGAAGTAGTAGGTATTTAATAATATTAAAGGAATAAAGAAATGGGGAAATTGTGAATTATGGGAGAAAGTAGTAGAGCACGTAGCCATTGATTATTTGCTGAAATTCGTTGATACGATTCAAATTAGATACGAATTTATTTAAATTATGCGCTGAGATTCTGCCTACACGTTTAACCACAAAGAAACTATGTGTAATGTAATTAAAAAGGAGGAATTAATTTCACACATGGCTCTGTTAAAGGAAAACTAAATGCAATGATACCTATTTGATTTCACCCGAAATTTTGATATTACATGCTCTGGTACTTTGTCTAGACATTTAACTATACAGAAACTATTTGTAATGTGATCAAAACGAAGGAAGAATTAATTTCACACTTGGCTGTGTTAAAGGAAAACTAAATTCAGAGATACCTATGTGATTTTACCCGAAATTTCGATACCACATTTCTTGAATCTTCCAGATAGAAATTATACAAAATTTTCTCGATGTATTTATCCACTTTAACAGTAATCTAATTTTAAACAAAATTATTTTAAAACTAATGCACCTATCCCAAGAAAATTTTTCTCAAAATCTTAAGAAGTGTGTCTTGATATGCCATAGTAAATGTAATAGAGAAGTCACAGTTGGTTATTAAAAGTACATTACCGATTGATATGTCTTTCTGTGTACCACGCACCATCTTATGGTATAATTTCTTTGATTATAACGTCTCGCAACAAAAACTGACAGATACGAACGACTCAAAAACCACTCCACAAAGGATATTGCGCAAAAGAAGGGCACCGCTTAAAAAGATGTTTCTGAACGTGAAAGCTATTTCTACAGAAATTGATTCTCACGAATCAGCCAGCTGAGTTGCAAGATCGCCAAAGGAGTGTATATTTCACTCTGTTGAGCCTTATAATGCCCTTAATACTGCCACGATAAATGTCAAGAAGTTCTCTTGTATGATCGAGAAAGTTCTCTGTTAACCGTCCGTTTGAGTAATTACAATAGTAACGTCCTGCTCTTATTTTATTGGAAATAAGACACGAAAGTGAATTTGATTGTTTGCAACTTTGTTGAGGGAATAGTGTATAATTTCGTAATGGAACTGGTAAGTTCTAAATAATACTACTCATTTTTGAACAAAGGAACAGAAACATTGATATTAAATTTGATTATTAAAATTCATTTTTATTTATATTGCTTAATTCTTTTGCCATTAATAATCAATAATTCACTCGTTCATTAAGGTAACTGATAATTAATTACCGCTAAATCCGTAGAAGTGTGCACTTTTCACCGAATTAGTGCAGAAATATTTGCAAGGTAGAATAGAATTCATGATTCAGTCTTAATCAACAAGTGACTGTGCAACGAGAAAACAACATATTTTTACAGACAACATATACACACAACGTCCTTGCAAAAACTATTTCCTCCCAAGAAGATCACCTTGCGGAATTACGTTTGCGCAGAAGACAAAACGTTTTACGAGCATATTTCTCCCGAGCGAAATTACGGACGAGATTGCATGTCAATCAGTCGCAAAAAGTCATTTTCGACGTCAACTTTCTTACGGACATGTACCGTGAATTTAATTCGAGAAACTTCTTCGTTTATCCAATCAGTTACATAAAAAAAAAAAAGAAGCATGTACGATGTAAATTCTTGAAGAAACATTTTGATGTATTATTTCAATTAAAGTGTAATTTGATGAAGTGTAATTTAATATAGAAGCAGTTTTTTCAAAAACGTTTAAAGACTTTCAATTACGTTGATCGAAAGCAGAATCGAAGAAAATGGCACGCGATACAGAAATGCAGATAAATTCACAAAAATAAGAATTTTCCAAAAACTCAAACAAACTTCCTTGCATTTTACCTAACAGAACTAAATACTTATAGAACAAGTAAAACAGGCCAGCCAATTATCTTCTCTGGCTATGGTGGTGCCAGAAAATTTTTATACGCAATTTAAATGGTCCCAAAGGGTGAATAAGATCGAAGGGAAAAAATGGAAGAAAGCTTCACGTTTGATTTCAAATTTCAGAGTCCAAGGTCATACTCTTATACATGCTCAAATGCACATCAATTTCTGCCTCAATATACACTATATAGAAAAATATATATACGCTCGTGTAAAAACCCATAAGAGACCTTGAAAAAAGAAAATGGCATTTATAACAAAATTTTTTCCTTTGAAACCATTTAAATCACGTATAAAAATTCTGCGCGAAGAATTCTCAAATTTACTTTCATTGAACACGAATCAAACCCAAATTAAATCACCGTCAATGCATCGATTCGTCTCTTCACCGCAAGTTCTTCAATGAAAACCGCACAAATCGCTCGCGCCCAATTTGGAATTCAAACGTGGTGCGCGAGAGTTTGCTCGATTTTCAAAACGTCAACTCTGGCAGTGGTGCCAATTACTCCTTTTCAGGATGTCCCGACGGCGATCGTGCGTTTCCTACGGCGACGTTTACGCAACGGGGGATCGCCAACCGAAAACCGGAGACGCGTCACGCTCGACGGTGAATGAAAATTGGCGCGTTAGAAATTTTCAAAGTCGTGCCGTGTGGTGCGGTGAACTCTCGTACCTAGATCACGACGAGGTTGAGGCGGTGGTCGGGCCCATGGGCGGGCCCCGCCGCTCCCCAAGGGGACCTATATAAGTTGACTCGCGGCCGGTGTAACGCGATCCTATAACACAATCGCGTCTGCCCCATCAGCGACGAGACATGCGTCTTCCCGTAAGTATTCCTCGCTTTTCCTCCTTCGCCGGACAGTGGATTTCCTTGGGGAAATCAATCTGCGACACAGTGACACGGTCGCGTTTGTGATTCTTGATTAGCCTTGGGTCAAAAACCTCCGTCGAGTGCTTTTTTTTCGTCTGGTTACATGTGTCGGCGATTTTTATCGGTGTGCTGTCCTTTTCGAGGATTCTCACGGTTCCGGTGACTTTTCGTTGTTGTGATTTCAATTTATTTTACGGGGAAACGGAATGATTCAAATATTTTCGTACACTTCTTGTGCACTTTATACCTCGATGCTTATTGTAGTGATATTTTGATTGAACTTGGCATTAATGGGAGGTTCACTTTGAAGTTAAGAAAATACTTTTACACACTTCGGGTGCGCTGATGTTTAACGACAGATGACATTGTTTTTTGTGAATTTTAATTTATACTTTATATGTTACTTTCCTGGATTGTTCATGCTTTGGTAGTTTATTTAAACGCGTCAGATTTCGTTCTTTGTAATAATAAAGCAGTGGGCTTTTGGGTACTTGTAACATGGTAATGAGAAAAAGTTTGATAAAAACGCATGGTGTTTATGTGTGGAGATAATTAATTAATTAGGTGTCTTCCTTGGGAGGCTTTTAAGAATTTCTCGTATTTAATGGTAAAAATTCGTGGTTGAAATGCAATGCAAAGAATGTAAATATACAAATTTGACAAGAAGTTTGTTAATTGTTTATTTTATATTTCTCGTCGAATCTTCTTTAAAAGTGACCACTTCGTTAAGGCAGATTGCCTAAATTGTTTCGAATTAAACAAAAATAACTTTGTGACTTTGAGTTAGCTTTTCTTTTTAATTCTCATTGTTCCCTTTTCAATTTTTATTTTTATATTTCCAATACAATCTTCTTTAAAAGTTATCTCTTCGTTAAGCTACATTTGCTTACATTTTTTTTAATTAAACAGAAATAACTTTGTAACTTTGAGCTACCATTTTTTCAAACTCTCCTTACCCCACTCGTCGATGTTCCCTATTCATGACTCACATTTCACCGATGAGTACAGCTAGATTTACGGTTATGCCTTTCTAATGCTTTTACGAAGACACTAATTCTACTTCTTACGACTATTATACCTAAACTTAACACGCGTCCTGGTTCCATAGAAGACCTTCAACCTTTCTTTCTGCAGATTTGCTTTCTTATCCCTGCCACAAATTTCCACTTTCGCATAAAATCCAACTGTAAAGAAAAAATTCACCGCCAATAAAATTGACCAACGTCCAACGATAAATAAAGGCATCGCAGACCCCAAAGATCCCGGCTTGCGCCGGCTTGGCATTTGAGAATTCTCCGTTTAGAGGGAAAATCAAAGGTAACTCGAAGTAAAGGTGCATTTCAACCGCGCAATCACCGCTATTTTTCATTGTGCACGAGGTTATTGGAAAGTGATTCGCGCGTGTCTGCAATTTTATGCAAACCCGTGTCACCAGGTGCTGTGTCTCTTGTTTTGCGCTGGCCTTGCGCTCGCCCAGCACAATCAATACCCGGTGACCACGCCGGTGCCCATTTTGAAGCAGATCAACAAGTAAGTATCGTTCCGTTATCAGAAAGTAGATTTAAACCAACCGAACGGAACAATATACGTCGAACGCTGTTTCGTTTCGTTTCTTTTATCGGGCACAATTTATCTCTCGGCTCGCACTGCCGGCGAAAAGTGCGAGTTCGAGACTGAATCAAAGGGTAAGAACGCGAGGCCAGAAATGTTCGGCGAGTTACGTGAAACGTGTGATTGCAGGGGTTCGATAAAAACAGCTTGCTTCGATTCTTGTCATTTTTCCAACTGACTTTCGATCTGGAACAATGAAACTGTTGTATCACGCGAAAGATCGATTAACAGTTCGCGAAGGAAGAAGAAATGTTCCGGCAAGTTCAAGTTCAGCTAGCACTGGTATCGCGATTCCTTTGTTCTGGCGAATCAAGGTTTTCGTTTGTACGAACTTTGAGGAACAATTGTGAATTGTTTTGAATAACTGTGTCAAATTATTATTGTAAATTCGGAAGAACTGGTATTTCAATTTGCGAAAAAGTAACATGTAAATGAGGTAAAATCGGATTTCGGAAACATCGTTTTGGTAAATAAGAGATTTTATAATTCATTTTCTATTTGTTTTGTTTCAAATTAAATACCACGTATGATTGTCACTTTTCTGTTTAATAATGGAAATTTTTGGAGAAAGTGTCGTAATAAAAATATTACTGCGATTACTTCGACGAATCTTAAAATTGGAAAGTGATTTTAAAAATTGTGTAATACCATGCAGAACAGCTTCTCATGCGATAGTGTTTCTGCAGTGCATTGCAATCTATAGAAATAGGTCGTTAAGCAATAAACAACTGAGAAAGCTGTTTCGAACCCTCGAGGTAGGCGTTACTTTGACCAGTTTCGTAAGATGATTCGTTTGTCTATAATTTCAAGGGTAAATCTACACTTTTATTTGATTCTGCAATAGATACGCGATTGCTGCATGTATTGCATTAATCCACTTCCGCGCGTTTCTGTAACTTTTCTTGGAACATTCGATTATGTTTGTTGCAAGAAGTAGAAAAGTTACCGAAACTACGTGACCGACAATGAACACAAAGAATAATACAAAACTTTTCATTTACAATTTGCATTAATATTAAAATTTTTCAAATGTCGTCCTATTGTAGTTCATTATTTTTCAATTAGTACTTTCCTTCTTTATATTTTATCTGAAATATCTATTGTTTCTCTCAAGTAAATCAATTTTATTACTAAAGAAATAATAACATAATTGACAAAAAATATAAATATCTTCTTTCTGAGTTGCACTTTCTTCGAATTGCACTCCAGACTTTCCTTATTTCAGCCCTATCACTGTTATTTCTTCGCTTGAAACAACATTTGAATATTTTTTAAGAAAAGATATTACGAAAACAATTAAGTTGATAAATTTAATACAATATCTACACTGATGCTAAATGAAAATTAATAAAAATTACCAGAATCTATTGTAAAATACAATTCTCCAAAACATTTGAACTCTCAGTTATCTTGAACAAAAATTGCAAAAACTCTTCAGCTCGAAACTCTGCAGCCTTATGCGCAATAAACGTTTAATCAAGAAAATAGAGAAAATTTGTAAATACTGATCGGTCCTGTTCAATTTCCCGATTACCAGACACAATGAGGACGGTAGCTACAGTTACGGATACGAAGCAGCGGACGGTTCTTACAAGATAGAATCGAAATACCCGACTGGCGAGGTGTATGGAAAGTACGGATTCGTGGACGACACTGGAAGCGTACGAGAGGTCGAATATGGTGCGTCGAGACGCGGATTCGAGCCAGCAGGAGCTGGAATAAACGTGCCTCCGCCAACCTTGACTGGTAACAGCATCGCGAATCCCAACGAACCGGCCGACGATGGTCAATACAGAGAGGATCCGTCTGTTTATTACACAGATCCGCGATACACGAATGGAGAACGATATGAACCTGTTCCACGAAAACCAGTGGCTTACAACCAACCACGGCCACTTCCAGCGCCGATTTACAATCCACCCAGGTCAGTGACGAATTAATTATTCGAAATGAACGTCGGTTAGTGGTTGAATTTTATGCAAAAAGAGAACACCGGAGGATTTTCATACAATTTTCTATGTATATGCCTGTTCACAAGTATCGAGACATTTACTGAATGTGTAGGAAAACGTCGTTAGAAAATTATTAGAGTGTTGAAAAGAATTATGCAGTGTGGAATCTTATCTGAACCTAATTACGTTTATAATTATTATAAATAATTTAAATCACATTATGATAAATATAAACGGCGGTACATTTCATGGTTTTAAGGTTTTCCAATAATTATCAGCAACTTTCTGGTAATTTGTCCAAAATTTTTAATAGTTGCGCAATTTCTCGTTACTCGATAATTTATTCCAAATTTTTAATAGTGCAGTGAAATTTGCAATTCAATAATTCAAAGAGTTGTTATTTCTCATATTCGTATGAATAGTTGATTAATTATGATACCAACTGGACTTAGACTTTTTTTTTTTAATTAATCGTTCAATTAAATTACAATAAATTGTAAGACTGATTTGAGCAATAATGCCACAGAAATTTTCACCAGTAATTTATTCATCTGAAACACCAGCTCAACGCTAAATTCAAGACTAAAGGTTGTTAAAATTTGATCTGCAAATTATTCTAAATTCAAAATTATTCCCCGACTCAATGCTCGTGCAAAGTATATCTCTACCAAAGTATTCAAACTTCTAATTCTCTAAAGTACAAAACATTAACAATTTCGTTTAATTATCTTCCTTCACAAAACCATCCACTGTAAATGTTCCACTAGAATTCCGAATAAAACCGTCATCGGAAATTCTAGAGCATCCATGAAAACGCTTCCTCGACCTAAGCGCACGTATATGCACAGAACCGTGCAAATGTCACGCGAATCTCACTCGAAAGCGCAACGAACGTGACTTGCACAACTGACAGCTACTCTTGACTTAAACTCACGCGGTTAAACAGTGGAATTAACCGGCAGAATCTGTTTCTCGGCTTTCCAGGTATCCCACGCAAGTGCAGTATCAGCCGAAGCCGCAGTTTCAACCAGAATATCGACCGCAGTACAGATCGCAGTATCAACCGCAATATCAGGGCCAACAACCGGCGTATCCCGCTGCGCCGATTCAAAGCGGAATTCAAGATCGTCCGGCGGCCAACGTCGATCCGAATGCTGGATTAGCCTCCTACACGGTTAATTACAAACGATAGAGATCCTTAGATCTCGCCAACGTGTGTAAATATTGCGTTATTTATATCGATTTCCGGGACGTGTTGCAGAGATCGTAGTTAGGGCCAGTTTATCCATCTTCGTTCGATCCTCAGACCATTGTATTAAGTTCTTAGGGTATGTAACGAAAGTTCGTCGACTCTGAGATTGATGATTTATTGTGACGGAATGGAAGACGATAAAAAGGAAAGAATCTGCCGAGTGACGTAAAATGTGGGAAATGTTTCGAATTTGATAACAAAACTTTAATACTTCTGAGTTTAGGTACTTTTGTTACATACTGTAGATTCATTTGTTAGATTGAATAGGCCCTGCTTTTTTGTTTTTCTTTTTCAATTGTTTGCACTGTTACGTTTCCTTTTTCCATTTCGACTGAAAGTGGTAACATTTAAAGGGCAGATGAAAGGTTCTGTTGTGTATTTGAAGCATAGTAAGCTCGTTTACTGTTCGTGGAAATGAATGATTGCAGATATTTGGAAAAAGCGTGAAAAGTTTATTTTCATAGTTAAGAAATTTCGTGCAAAAATTCAATTTCTCGTCCTTTAAATGTTAATCACAGAAGAATACCATTACATCGTAATTTCTCTCATACACCGAAGAGTTATCGTACTTTTAGATTCCTCACACGTCACCATCTTCAGAAAAATGTCACGATTCTCCTAAAAATTGTCACATCCTCAAATTATTTATACCGTAAAGTTCGAAAGTAAAATTTAAAACTCTCGCAAGTTAGTTAAACTTCCAAAAATTCGTAACCCAAAGAAACTTGCTAATATGGATTTCGATATAATACCGAATGCATCAATATTTCACTACTACTCTAGACACACAAAGTGGTACCTTTACAGAGACACTCTGCCATCTGCCACTTGACATTCTACACGATTCTTACTCTCTCTCTCTCTTATCTCCCAAACACTTCATAGTAATGCAACGTGACATGTTCATCTAGACTCTGCACAAGTAGTTTCTCTGTGAAGCTCTGCCTCTTTCTCACCTTTCTACCTCTTCTCTTACCAGTTCTCTTCTACTTCTTCTACCTCCAGTTTAGCTCTTACCTCCACAACTCAGTTGTTCGCATTTCTTGTTATTTAACACTAGAACAACCCTCCAAGTCAAAAACGACCCATTAGCAACTTTCCAAAACCAGCTAATCCTCGATACACACCATGTCTAACTTTTCGACTCTGTTTTCCGCATGTATACGATCTAATCTAATTTTTCATTCACGTTACATAAAAATTCCCCTTTGGAAAGTCGCCAATAGGTCATTTCGGTCGGTAGTTCCACTCTCGATCATCTCTCTCTAGCACTTCTTCGCTGCTCGGAGCATCATGTCTCGTACGATCATCTCTACGTGCATCGTGTCGCGATAGAAAGGAAAGGTTCGTACCTCGCGTATTTGCATCCTCCGGTCGAAAGACGCGTTATACCGCGAGATGATAAAAATCGAGAAACGGAATGTCGAGCAAGAAACACGTTTCTTCCGCCCAGCCCGTGTGCGTCGAACGGGATGAACGATTTGCGAGCTCCATAGGTATGCGACACGGAGACCCAGTGTTCATGTTTAATCATCATCACGCTGCGCGGAATTACGAATGCAACGAATGACTGAACTTGACACACGTTGGCAAAAAAAAAAAAAAAAACGAAAGAAAAATGCTGGCATAGCTCAGAGCGACCTTCAGATCCTATCGATCGAGAACGATGAAAGCAAACGACCCGTTCGACGTAGGCGATCCACCTTCGTAAATTGCGATTATGCCCGCGAGATTCCTCGATGGTGAACAATCTACCCCGAGATATTTGCATTCTACGCGACTGGTTTCCATTCCTCGCGAATTCACGACAGTCGTAAAGTACGTCAAGCTGACCGGTCCGCTGTATTTCAGCGGAGATACGATAATGCAACGATAGGACACCAATCTCGTGGGTTTTCTGAGAGGAATTTCTAAACGTTTTCGATGGTTCCATGCGAATTTCAATGGACAGAGATGTTGTACACCTTTGCACGTGTTTGTACTGTTAGGGACACTATTGGGACGGTATTGTCTCCCTTTGTTTTATTATGATTTAATGTATCGTGTAATAAAGTATTTATGGAAGAATTATGGTTTACTCTGTGGAACCTTTTATCAACGATCACCGAGTGCGTAGTTCTACTTTTGTGTATTAGAATAGAAATCGAGAGTCAAGTGTGTAACGTAATCGCATGTATCGCATTATTTTATAATAAATGTAATAATTGTCTGGCTTTTGTTAGGTTGCATCTTAATTTATCTTTCCCCGTTATTATTTTAGAGATTTTGCTTTAGTTGCTGTTTCCACGTTTCTCTCGCAAGTAAACTTTCGAAATTGATTACTTTTTATTATTAAATTAAACATTTTGACGAGTCTTGGTCCATTTCTTTTCGTGCTTTAATTTCCTAAATATATTAAAAGAATTTACGAAGTAGAAAAGAATATGAACTCTTTTGCTTTATTAATATTCGCTGTATTTTCAATTCTTTACATTTTCCTCGTAAAAATGCCTCCAATATTCCCACAATTTAAAAAATAAAAATTTAATAAATCAAAATTTTGAAACTAAAATTTATAAATTAATCACATACCACATATGGAACTAACTTCCGCAAAACATACTCCGCAATTGTCAACACCGTTAGTCTTCCAAAATTTGACGCAAAACAGAAGAACGTCCCAGTCAAAAGAAACAAACTTTCCATATTCCGATTCCTTTCGTTACCAAACACGCCGGTAAACAGAAACTGAACCTGTTCCAGTAACAACACCATCATTTCCAAAACGATCGACCTTGCTGGCTCATACTGACGTCTTACACAGCCAAGAGATAGCTGTGGTGCTGTACATGCCAAGGAAGTCTTTTGTACTGCCAAGGAAGGCTGTCGCCACACCCAGGAATTTCATCCACGCTTTTCGAGCATCGAACACACCGTGTAATTATCCGGAGCACCTGTAGGTGAACCTCTCTTACAACGTGCCCGAGAGAATTTTTATTTTCGTCTGCTTGTACGCGAGAATCAAGGAGGACAACTACTTTCAACGTGATCTTGTTAGAAGACGTGTAAACCAAGTCGTAAATTCGAGGTATCCGGGGTGAAGTACACGGTGCTGATGGAGAAAATCATAACAACGTGGATGGGACGAGAAAGAAGGGAAATGGTGGAAAAATCTGGAGCATTGAACGACTTTGATGTTAATTTAAACTTTAATTTTAATATTGAATTAAAAATTTGGTAATTGAGATGTTAAGTATTTCGTAGGATACAGAATGAAATTCTCAGCAAATTAATATTTCTAACGATTAGAAATTCTGTTCTCTCGAAATTCAGAATTCAGAAATTTGGTTTTTCTCTCAAATTGAATGGAGAACTTAATTATTATACAGAATATCTACGAAATGGCGTTACAATTCAAAAAAAAAAGATCAATTTACATAAAAAAAATAATTTACAAATGAAGAGCAATATATTCTCATACGAAACTTAAAATGTTTAGTTTCAATTTTAAAACTAAAATT